ATTGCTTTTAGGGTCCTTCTTTGTTTTAAAGAGTAGCATACATTTGCAGCTGAATTGCTCTGTGGTCCCATCCTGTAAAATCCAAGAAATATACCAGCCTTCCTTCATTTCTTCGCATCTACTATTTCTTCATTTCAGTTTGACAGTTTTCCTCCTGGGGTGGTCCACATCCATGCTAATCTTATCAAATGGTCATTTGGCCACACCCTTAGACTTTCATGTTCTTTTCCATATGGGTAGGTTGAGAATTTTCTGCATCTTTAAGTACTGGTTCCTTTTTGCTTAACAATTCTGTCTTTAAGTCATTCTCACTTCTTGTGTTTTATTTAAGTGATCTGGAGGACCCAGGCCACTCCTTCAGCAAATTGTTTAGAGGTTTCCTCAGCCAAATATCCAATTTCACTTGCAAATGCATGTGTCTTTATAACTGTTAAATCTTTATGTTGGGTTATCCATTGTTTCATGATAAAATGGCCCTACTTTTTATAGTAACACTTTTTGATTTAAAATATTTTGCCTGGCATTAGTACAGTCACTCCAGCTTTTTTATGACTGTTGTTTACATGGTATTTTTTATTTGTCTTACTTTCCACCTGTTTGTGTCTTTGAATCTAACGTATATTTCTATAGACAGCATACAGTTGGATTTCAAAAAAATCTAATCTGCATAATCCACCTTTTGATTGGATTAGTTTACTTACACTTAATACTATTATTTAATTGCTTGTTATTTTTTACATCTGCTGTTTTACTTTTTGTTTTCTATTCAATTTTTTTCAAACTTTGGAATATTCACATGTATATAGTAATGTATCTTAGAGATAGTACCCAAGACTAAACATAGATTTATTTATGTTTCATGTATGTCTTATAGTTTGAAGGTAATTTTATACAATATTTTTCATACTTTTGTGCATGAAACGAAGTTAGTGTACACTGATCCATTAGAATGCAAAGATGTCGTATCTCCATCACTTATGTGGACAAATTTTTGGTGATTTGGCATTATCATCATTTCTGACTCTGAATTTACATGCTATGTCTTTTAAGGAAGCTAATAGAAAAAAGGGGAGAACAGGTGTGTAGTGTCTATATATTTAATTTATTATATATACCCTCTTATTTACTCTGATTCTTCTTGTGGATTTGAGTTACCATATGGTGTTATTTCCTTCTCCAATATAGCTTTGTTCCCACTGCCTCCTTGGTGCTGTTATTGTATGTTTAACAATTCTGTACATTATATATTACAGGGCTAATGATATAATTAAATACATGTTTAAAAAATTGAAACATAATAGATATACATATTTTCAGGACATGTGATAATTTAATAAGTTCACATAAAATTTACATATGATATCTGTTACCTTAAATACTTACCTTCTTTATGCTAGAAACCATTCAAACTATTCCCTTTTAGATATTTTGAAATATACAATGGATTATTATAAATTATAGTCACCCTACTATCTATTGACCACTAGGTCTTACTACTTCTAGGTCTTATTTCTTATATCTAACTGTATATTAGTACCCATTAATCAACCTCTTTTAATCACTCTCTCCCTGCCTCCCTTTCCAGCCTCTGGTAACCACCAGTCTACTTTGTCTCTTGATGCATTCCTTATTTAGCTCCCACATATGAATGAGCACATGAGATATTTGTCTTTCTGTTCTCAGCTTATTTTACTTAACATGATGAATTCTCGTTCCATCCATGTTGCTGCAAATGTCATGAATCCATTCTTTTTTACAGTTGGATAATCCATTGTGTATGTAAACCACATTTTAAAAAATCTGTTCTTCCACGGATGGATACTTAGGTTGATTCCGTATCTTGGCCATTATGAATCATTCTGCAATAAACATGGGAGTACAGATATGTCTTCAGTACATTGATTTTTTTTTTCTTTTAGGTATATACTCAGTAGTGGAGTTGCTGGATAAAATGGTAGTTTTGTTATTTTTTGAGGCACCTCTATACAGTTTTCCGCGGTGACTCTACTTATTTACATTCCCACCAACAGTGTACAAAGGTTCCCTTTTCTCCACATCCTTGTTAGCATTTGTTATTCCTTGTTTTTTTTATAAAAGCTATTTTAATTGGGATGAGATGATGTCTCATTTTGGTTTTGGTTTGCATTTCTCTGAAAATCAGTGATTCAGAGCATTTTCTCATATACTTGTTGGCAATTTGTATGTCTTTTGACAAATATTTATTCAGGTCTTTTGCCCACTTTTAAATTGGATTATCTGTGGCATTTTTTTTCTTTTGCTGTTGAATTAAGCTCTTTATATATTCTTATTATTAATCTTTTGTCAGATTGATAGTTTGTACATATTTTCTCCCATTCTGTGACTTGTTTCTTCACTTTATTGATTGTTTCCTTTGTTATATAGACTCTTTTTAGCTTGATGTAATTCCAGTGATCTATTTTTGCTTTGGTTGCAGTGCTTTTGAGGTCTTACACAAAAAATCTTGCCCAGACCAATGTTTTGAAGCATTTCCCCAATGTTTTCTTCTAGTAGTTTCATAGTTTCAGGTCTTAGATTTAAGTCTTTAATTCATTTTGATTTGATTTTTTTAAATATGGTAAGAGAGAGTGGTATAGTTTTATTCTTCTGCAAGCTGGATATTCTTTATCCAGTTTTCCCAGCACCATTTACTGAAGAGACTGTTCCCATTGTGTGTTCATGGCGATCTTGTTGAAAATGAGTTAGCTATAAATGTGTGGATTTATATCTGGGTTCTCTGTTCCATTGCTCTGTGTATCTGTTTTTATGCAAGTATCAAGATGATTTGATTACTGTAGCTTTGTAGTATATTTTGAAGTCAGGTAATGTGAGGCCTCCAGCCTTATTTTTGCTCAAGATTGCCTTGGCTATTCAGGGACTTTTGTGGTTCCATGTAAATTTTAGGATTTTTTTTCTGTGAAGAATCTCACTGTTATTTTGATAGGGATTATGTTGAACCTGTAAATTGATTTGGGCAGTATTGTCATTTTAACAATATTGTGGCCGGGTGCAGTGGCTCACACCAGTAATCCCAGCACTTTGGGAGGCGGGCAGATCACGAGGTCAAGAGATTGAGACCATCCTGGCCAACTTGGTGAAACCGTGGCTCTACTAAAAAATACAAAAATTAGCTGGGTGTGGTGGTGCACGCCTTTAGTCCCAGCTACTCAGGAGGCTGAGGCAGGAGAATTGCTTGAACCCAGGAGGCGGAGATTGCAGTGAGCCTAGATTGTGCCACTGCACATCAGCCTGGCGCCTGGAGACAGAGCAAGACCCTGTCTCAAAACAAAACAATATTGTTCCTATTTATGAGCATGGAATATCTTTCCATTTTAATGTCCTCTTTAATTTGTTTCATAACCATTTTATAGTTTTTCCTGTTTAGGTCTTTCACTTTAGTTAAATTGACTTCTATGTATTTTATATTCTTTGTAGCTATTGTAAATTGAATTGCTTTCTTGATTTCCTTTTTAGATTGTTTGCTCTTGGAACATATAAATGCTACTCATTTTTGAATGTTGATTTTGTATCCTACAGTTTTACTGAATGTGTCAGTTCTAACAAGTTTTCAGTGGAGTTCCTAGGTTTCTTTAAGAATAGGATTATGTCTTCTGTGAAAAAAGGAAATTTGATTTCTTTTTCGCCAATTTGGTTGCCATTTATTTCTCTTTCTTGCCTAATTGCTCTTTCCAGGACTTTCAATATGACGTTGAGTAACAGTAGTGAGAGTAGACATCCTTGTCTTGTTCCAGGTTTTAGAGGAAAGGCTGTGAATTTTTTCCCATTTAGTGGGATATTAGTTGTGGGTTTGTCATATGGCCTTTATTATTTTGAGATATGTTCCTTCTATATCCAGTTTGTTGAGGGTTTTTGTTATAAGAATATGTTAAATTTTATCAAATGCTTTTAAAACATCTGTTAAAATGATCGTATGGTTTTTCTTCTTGGTTCTGTTGTGATCTGTCATGTTGATCGATTTGTGTATGTTGAACCATCCTTACATCCCTGGTATGTGAATCCCGCTTGGTGATGGTGAATGATTTTTTTAATGTGTTGTTGAATTCTGTTTGCTAGTATTTTATTGAGCATTTTGGCATCTACGTTCATGGGTAATATTGGTGCATAGTTTTCTTTGTGTCCTTATTGGGTTTTGATATCAGGATAATGCTGTCTCATAGAATGAATTTGAAGTATTTCTTCCTTTTCAATATTTTTTGAAGAGTTTGAGAAGAATTGGCATTAGTTCTTTAAATGTTTGGTAGAATTCAGCAGTGAAGCCATCAGGTTCTGAGCTTTACTTTGATGGGATATGTAATTACATGGTCAGTCTTGTTACTTGTTACTGGTTTGTTTAGGTTTTACTTTTCTTTATTTTTCCTTTTCTTTCTTTTCTCCTCTTCTCTGTTCTTTTCTCTTTTCTTTTCATTTTTGTTTTTCTTTCTTCCTACAGAATCTCTGTTTCCTAGGCTGGAGTACGGTGGTGCAGTCATAGCTCATTGCAGCTTTAAATGCTGGGTCTCAAGTGATACTCCCACCTCAGCCTCCTAAGTATTTGGGACCACAGGCACATGTCCAGCTAATTTTTAAATTTTGTGCAGAGACAGAATTTCACTATGTTGCCTAGGCTGATCTTGAACTCCTAGCCACAAATGATCCTCCTACTTCGGCCTCTTAAAGTGCTGGGATTACAGGCATGAGCCACTGCACCCAGCCTGTTCAAGTTTTCTATCTCTTTTGATTTAATCATAGAAAATTATATATGTCCAGGAATTTAGCCGTTTCTTCTAGGTTTTCTAATTTATTGGCATATAGTTGTTCACAATCATCTCTAATAATTATTTGTATATCTTGTGGTCTCAGTTTTTGTCACCTTTTTTACTTCTGATTTTATTTATTCAGATCCTTTCTTTTTCTTAGTCCTGCTAAGACTAAAAATGGTCCATTTTTATTTATCTTGAAAAACTCCTCCTTGTTTTTTTTTTTTTGTCAATGCTCTCACCTTTATTTCTCTCCATATACCCGTGATACAGATATTTCATACATAACAAGGTCAAAGACATACACACGTTCTACGTAAAACAGAGGCAGAACCATGGCTAAAACATCTAACCCAGCAATCAACTCATTTCCCTGAGGAGTGCGGGTGGGGTGGGGGAGGACTCACAGGCAGTTCACCAACACCTGGGAAATCCTTGGCTTCATTGAGAATGAATGACTCTTGGTGGGGATTCAGACAATGGAGTAGTGAGAAGAAGGCCTTTTTTTCCAGGGCTCTTGACTCTCAGTATCAATAGTCAGTTGTGGGTTGCTACCTTCTATTTCTTTCAGCAGCTTATTGAGTTCATCAGTAAAGTCATCTACTTTCAACCTGAGTGTCTGGAGGGTGCCATTTGGACGTGTCAAGGTTTCAAACAGCAACTTTACTCCACTATACCCCAAGGAATTCTGGCCCAGGTCCAGAGTGATGAGGGTCTGGTTGCAGCTGAGGACACAGCAGAGGTTCTCACAGCTGCCCGGAGGGACGGAACATCTCCACAACCACAGACATTTCAAATTACACAGTGGTTTCTTCAAAGCCTCACACAGGCCCTGCACTCCAGGAACTCCTATGTCATTCCGCCCCAGATCCAAGTTCGTTGGGCTTGATTTATCATGGAGAAGCTTTGTGAGGTGACCGCAGCCTTTGCTAGTTATGTCACAGTTCCACAGCACAATGGTCTGTAGTTTACACTCGGGGTAACTCAAGCCCTCACACAGAAACTTCACCCCTGTATCCCTGAGGGGGGCGGTTCTCGGCCAAGCACAGGTGCATCAGCTCCCGGCTGACAACCAAAACAGCAGCCAGGTCCTTGCAGTCGGCTTCTGTAAGGTGAGAGTTTTCCAACGACAACCTCTGCAGGAGGCACTTTGGGTGTTTCAGAGTTGTGTACAGCAACTTGGCACCCTCATCCAGGAGCTCATTGTTGGAGAGGTTTACGCACGTCAGGGACTGGTTGACTTCAAGGGCCAGGGAGAGATCAGCCCACTGCTGAGTGGTAGCAGAACAAGACACCAACCCGAGATACTGCAGGTTACATTTTGGGTGCTTCAGGACTTCACACAGTGCAGGAAGTGTATCATTCTGGGCACTGCCTCGAAGTCTTAGATGTGTTACACTCTTGTGACCTTGAAGAGCTAGGCAGAGGTTCCGATAAGCATCAGCTGGGGAAATGTTTTTGATCACCACTCTCTGGAGATGACAGTTGTCAGAAGCTATTTGTTCACGTAGAATCCTTAACAGTGAGGCACTAAGGAAGCTATTATTAATTTCTATAATGATTAGATCCTTGTTTGAGCCAAATATGGAACAAAGATCCGTCCAGAAAGGAAGCATGTGTTGATCATCCTGGGATCTCTCAACCTCAGCATCTGATTCAGAGGCAGTGACATTCTCTGGGAGCTTTGTCTTTATCACCTGCAGTGACATTTTCTCCAAGTTTCGACAATGCTTGAGGCAGAACGAAGAGGGCACAATGTCTGCGGCACTTAAATGCAGGGATATTTCTTTCAACGGGGCCATCACCCGCTTCACCAGCTCCTCTTCCTGAGACTCGTACAGACAGTGTAAGACCTCCTTCAGGTCCATCATGGTTGAGTATCTGTTCTCCTCACAAATGATGTCGCACTGCAGTAATTCCTGTTTGATCTCCTGTGACATCACGCAGCCAAAAGTGGTCTCCAACTCTGTGGCTCTCTTCTCGTTGGCAAGGCCGAATAAGAAGTGTCCTGCTTGGATCAGGTCGGGGTTCTGGAGTCGTTCTTCTCCAGAAAGCAGCTTTTGCACGTCCTTAATGTCCCAGGCGTGGCCATCCCTGTCCTCCTCCTCCTCCTCCAGGGCGTAGAACAATGCAGTGAAAAGCTGCTGGAAGCTGAGGTGGAGGAAGGAGTAGCAGTCTTTAGAGTCTCTATCCTGGCGGAGGATGCCTCTGTCCAGGAATGGGCGGAGATGGGACTCCTGCAACCCGAAGCTTTCCAGGTCCTCTCTGTGGAACGTGGACATCTGCGCCCACAGGCCCTGTGTAGCCAGGAGGCTCAGCGCCCGCAGCGTGCACCCGAGCTGTGAATCCTTCGGGAAGTGGCCGCAGAGAAAGTGCAGGAACAGCCCCGTGCGGGTGTGGCAGTTGGGGGCCGGGTCCTCCCCGTTCTCCATCTGCAGCTTCAGACTCGTGTACACCATTTAGCACACCGCAGGCGCCGAGCCCAGCTGGAACAGGGCTGTGTTGCTTCTTATCAGCTCAAAGGCACGCATGGCTTGGTCCTCCTCTCCAAAGTATCTCAGGAAATAGGCCCTCCTGTCCTCCTCCAGGAACCCCTCCACCCTTATGTAGATGGGCTGCTTCATCAGGGGCTGGAGGTCCCTCAGGGCTCAGGACCGCGTGGTGACCAACAGGGCGGCCTTGGGTAACATCTTCCTTTTCAGCAAACTCCCCAGGAGGACCGGCACCGGCTTCGGCTTCAGCCAGTCCGCGCAGATATTGTGGATCAGCGCCCTGGGTGGGGCTCCCAGCTCATCAAGGGCGTTGACCACGAACAGGATTTTCTGTGCTTCGGCTAGGATGTTTGGAATGTCATCCTGAAATTCCGGCCAGTCCCTGAAGACCAGCTCTGCAAAACTGCACAGGCCCAGGCGGCTGATCATTTTGCAGCTGAGGTAGAAAGCGTATTTGAATTTGTGGCCGAGGTTGTCCTCTGTCCAGTCCAACATTAATTTCTTGGTGAGCGTGGTTTTCGCAAGGCCGGCAGGGCCGTGCAGCACCACCGTGTTGGGAAGGGCCCGGGAAGCATCCTGGGGTTGCTGAATGGGATCAGCGTCGTGTATCTCTGAGCCACAGCTTGGACCTCTTTGCTGTTTCCGTGCCAGGCCTCCCACATTTGCCGGAACTTCATCTTCAGTATACTCCTGTGCCTGTCCTCTTTCACTGGCATTTCTTTTTTCAAGGCTTCAGCTTCTCTCAGGCTGCTGACATCTTCCTCTGTTTCTGTAAACGCTTGTGCTTCTGTCTCTAAGCGCACCAGCATTTCATCCAGGTCTACAGGCTTCGGTTCTCCTTTCCGTATTGTCTCTCTGAGTTCATCCTTCACTCTCTCAGACAGATCTGCTCGGTGCATCTTTTCAAAGACCTGGATGGTGGCCATCTCCATCCAGTAGCTGGGGCAATGGCTGGTGAGGATTTCTGCCAGTTGCTTCCCATCAGCCTTGTCTACCTCTGTCTGGGGGATCTTCTGTCTGTAGCTCATTTCCCAGGGTGATGGTCCCGATCAGAGACTTGAATTGGCTCAACTCATCCTGGCTGAGCTGCTCCAGAAGAGCCTTCAGGTTGAAGTCCAGCTGCACAGATGACACCATCTCGTCCCACGTGGGAGCGCCAATGAGAATGAAGGGAGGACTCCCAAGGCCTGGCCTTACTCCCCGGCTCTGAGCGGGCGGCTAAGAAAGCACTAATAAAAAGGTTTCTCTTTCGGCCCAACCTGTGATTGGTCCTCAGGGCCTGACCATTGCTGGGCACTTCCTGTACCCACCAGGAATCCTGAGCGGTGGGTGCTGACTCCTCACATGAGCTTCCCCATCTACACCTCTGGTTCTCAATCTTGGCTGCCTCTGAAAAACTCCTCTTTTTGCATCATTGATCTTTTGTATTGCTTTTTAAGTCTCAATTGCATTTATTTCTGCTCTGATATATTATTTCATTCCTTTGATTAATTTTGGATTTGGCTTATTCTTTTCTGGTTCCTTAAGGTATGCATTATTAGATTTTTTTAAAGTCTACTTTTTTGATACAGGTGTTTATTGCTATAAACTTCTCTTTTAGTACTGCTTTTGTTGTATCCCATAGGTTTTAGTATTTTGTAGTTCCACTTTCATTTGCTTCAAGAAATTTTAAATTTTCTTCTTAATTTCTTCATTGGCTAATTGGTCATTTTGGAGCATGTTGTTTAATTTTCATGTTTTTATGTATTTTCCAAAGTTCTTCCTTTCTTTGGTTTCTAGTTTTGTTTCATTGTGGTCAGTGAAGATAATTTATATGATTTCTGCTTTTTTGAGATTGTTTAGACTTTTTGTGGCCTAAGATATGGCCTATTCTGAAGAATATTTCATGTGTTGGTGAATGTGTATTCTTCAGCCATTGGGCGAAATGTTCTGTAAATGACAGGCCTATTTGATCTAGTGTGTAGTTGAAATCTGATGTGGTTTTTGTTGTTGTTGTTTTTCTATCTGGAAGTCCCTTACTTTTTTTTTTTTTAAGTCCCTTACTTTTACTGTATTGCAGGACACCCCTCACTTTAAGTCTATTAATGTTTGTTTTATATACTTAAGATCTCTCTGGTGTTGAGTACATAAATATTTATAATTATTATATCCACTTGCCTAGTTGACCCCATTATCATTGTTTGTTGACCTTCTTTATTTACAGGCTGTTCATAGTCTATTTTATCTGATATAAGTATAGCTACTTTGCTCTTCTTTGTTTACAGTTTTATGGAATATCTTTATCCCTTCACTTTCAGTCTCGTGCATCTTTGTAAGTCAGGTGGGTTTCTTGTAGATAGCATATATTTGGAAATTTGGATCTTGTTTGTTTGTTTGTTTTCCCCCATTCAGCTACTCTGTGCTCTTTAATTGACGAAATGAGTTCCTTTGCATTTAGGGTTATTATTTATAAGATTGTCCTTACTAGTTCATCTTGTTGCTTATTTTCTGGCTGTTTTGTAACTGGTCTCTTCTTCCTTTCTTACATCTTCCTTTCTAGTTAAGTGATTTTTTCTCTGGTCATTTGTTTTAACTCATTGCTTTTTATTTTTAGTGGGTCTGTTATAGGTTTTTGTATTATGATTACCACAAGACTTACAAAAACATCTTATAGATACAACAAGTTATATTACAGAGAGATTAGAGATTCTTTGTAATTTAGCTGTTGAGTATCTTTTTTTTACCCACTAGGCCTGCCTCCTTTTAAGAACTAGATGGTGCCTTACACTCAGGTTTTTCTCAGCTCTAGTAAATAATTTAGAACACTGCCCATGTTGAATGGGAGAGGTACCAAACAGGTTATCCTGGGAGCGTGAGAAGGCTGACTAGAGTTTTATGCTTGGGAGACCTGTGGAATGAAGTTCCTACATGTGGTGTTGCTGAATAACTTCTCTGATTTGGTGTCTCCTTTGATTGTTACAGAGCAGTTTCCAGGATTAGGGAGCATAGGCACATTTTACTCCTTTGTCTCTGGCTATTTTCAGGGATATTTCTCCCTTCAGATATTCCCAGTGCTTCCTATAGGTTGAGGCAGGGACAGGTCTCCTGTGAGGGAACCCACGATGGTGGGAAAGCTGGTTGGCCACCTTAATCTCACTTTTTCCAGTGTAGAAACCATGAGCCACCAGGAAAGTTTTCCATATGCTTGATGCTGGACTGATTTTGTGGTGAGACATCAAGGGTAAGGAAATCTAATTCCCTTACTGTCTGCTCAGTTTTTTTTCACTTCTCTGTGTCCTTGGGAACTGTCTCTCCTACATTATATTTGCGTTCTGGTGATAATCTTGGTGCTGTGTATTTGTTTTGGGATTTCTGTAGGGGCAGGGAGTGAAGCCAGCTTTTTTCTGTGTTACCATCTTGGAACTGGTAGTTCATGTATTGGTTTAGAAAGGAGAAGTCAATAATTATACTTTTAAATTACTTACATAATTACCTGTACCAGCACACTTTTGTTCTTTTTTATCTTTCATGGATTATTATTACTGCCTAGTGTCATTTCAGCCTGATAAACTTCCTTTAGTATTTCTTGTTAAGCAGGTCTGCTAGCAGTCAGTTCTCTCAGTTTTTGTAATTGTGGGAATATCTTTATTTCACCTTCATTTTTGAAAGATAGTTTTGCTGGTATAAGATTCTTGGTTGATAGGTTGTTGTTTTTTTTGTTTTTTGTTTTTACTTTTTCTACTTTGAGAATGTTGTCTTCTGCCTTAGGCCTCTAGGATTTCTGATGAGAAGTCAGCTGTTAATCTCATTAGGATTCTCTTATATGTGATCAGTTGTTTTTCTCTTGCTGATTTAAAGATTTTGTTTGTCTTTGACTTTCAGCATTTTGACTTTGATGTGTCTGCATTGGATCTCTGTGATTTTCCCTTTTGGAGTTTATTGACCTTCTTGGATGTGTGGATATATACACACATACACAGATGCATATATACATGTGTGTATATATACGTGTGTGCATGTGTCTGTGTCCATACAATTTACAAATTTGGATAGTTTTACTTTCTCTAAAGTTTGTTTCTGTGCCTTTCTCACCTCTGCTTCTGATACTCCAGTTATTTATATGTTGGTGCACTTAATGGTATCTACATTTCTCTGATGCTCTGTTCATTTTTCAATTTTTTTCTTTCTTTATATTACATCTGTTACATGATGTCTATTAATTTATGTTCACTTTTGCTGATATTTTCTTGGTTAAAAAATCTGAGCCTTTCTAGTAAGTTTTTTTTTTATTTACTATACTTTTCAACTCTAGAATTTCCATTTGGTTATTTTAAATTATTTCTCTCTTTATTGATATTACTTATTCGATGAAACATTGTCATTGTAATTTCCATTAGCCTGTTAAGCATGGTTTCATTTAGTTCTTTGAACAAACTTGTAATAATTGCTTTGAAGTGTTTGTTTGCTTAGTCTACCGTCTGTACCCCATTTAGAGGCAGCTTTTTTTGGTTTTCACTGTGTATTGATGGCATCTTTATGGAGGTTTTTTTTTTGTATGTCTCATAATTTTTTGTTGAAAACTGGATATTTTAGGTAACATTGGATACTGATGCCTGTTGTGGTTGTTTGTTTGGTTATTGGCTTATCTGTTTAATGACATAGCTGAACAAATTTTGTAAAGTCCAGTTTCCTCACAGTGTGTAGCTTCTGATACCCTTGCTCAGATTTTTCCCCATTGTTCTTAATCTCACCCTGACTACTTATATGGCATCTCTGGGTTGGCATAGACTGTGTACTGGTCACAGATTCTGCTGAAGTTCCCTTAGATAGTCAGATTTTTACCCTTAAATGTTAAATGTGTGTGTGGCTTGGTGGCTGCTATTATATAGTTCAGGGAGTTTACATTGTTTTTTGGTCTTACATTTAGCCAGGTACTAGTAGCTTGGGAGTTTGTTCCTGAGAGGGCCCAACCTTGGGCATGTATACAGGATTCCAGATTGCCACGGATGATAATGCTGTTTCAGTAAACCCAGGCTTCATAGGAATCGGCCCTGGGTCAGAGTAGCTTCTGTTAAGTTGTGTTTGATCAGAAGTTGTTATTAAGACCCTTATGCCAGTGAAGTTTCTACTCTGTGTTGATAGGTATGTGTATAGCTCAGAGAATGTTTTCAAGACTGCCCCATGTCCTGCCCTGATCATTCTTGGGTGGATACAGCTTAGTGTTTTTATACTGCTTTTCTGACTCCTCTATGATCTAAGAGGGCTCTTCTTGACTGTCTCTGGTTCTCTGCAGTAAACTTCTACCTGCTCTGCCATTCTGCTTGTATTGGAGCTGCTAGCCTTTCTTAATTGTTTTTCATTAAGATCTCCACTGTTTTTCTCTTTTTTGAGATGGAGTGTAGTTCTTGTCTCCCAGGCTGGAGTGCAATGGCAAGATCTCAGCTCACTGAAACCTCTGTTTCCTGGGTTGAAGAGATTCTCTTGTCTCAGCCTCCTGAGAAGCCGTAGCTACAGATGCACACCACCACACCCAGCTAATTTTTTGTATTTTTAGTAGAGATGGGGTTTCACCATTTTGGCCAGGCTGGTCTTGAACTGCGGGCCTCAGGTGACCTGCCCACCTCAGCCTCCCAAAGTGCTGGGATTACAGGCCTGAGCCACTGCGCCAGGCCCACAGTTTTCAATAGTGCCCATAGGCATGGGGTCCTCCTCTCTTTTCCAAATAAAGTCAATCCTCTCAGGTGGAAATGTAGAGCTCTTTGTCCTGACATCCTGTCTTTCCCCTTGAGCAAAATCTTCATGCCACTGTACCTGGAGCTGAAGGTGAGACCCTTCTTTTCCCAGAGTAACACTCCATTCTTAGAGTGGGCACTGGGGTTGTGGTAGCTGCCCTTGGTCATCTTAGCTGGCTGCTCCTAGCACAAAACCTCTACTCTGGGAGCAGTCTGGGGTGGTGGCAGTTAGAGCCAATATTCTCAGCCTGCTGTACATGGAATAGAACTTCCACCTTTTGAATGGGGGCTAGGTAGGGGAAGAGAGACCGGTCCTCTGTATCACCTCTCCAGAACAGAGCTTCTGCATCTCTGGGCTAAAGGAGAGGAGAAACACCAGCAGCTTGCCCCTCCCAGGGTAAAACTAGCCACAGGCTGGGAGCCTGAGGGAGAGGGTGCCCTCTGCATGTCTTTTGGCTACATGTACCACATAACAAAGACCTGGTAGGATGTGGAGAATGGTGCACTTTGTAACTCAAATGCCACAGACTCTAACTTGTTCTGAGATTTAGTAAATTTTCTTGAATGAATATTTGTCCACTTTCTGTATGCCCTCAGTACACTTTCCAGAGACTTTAAACGTTTGTTTTTTTAAAAACAATTTTCAGCAGTTTTTAATTTTTAATTAATTAATTGATTTTTGTGAGATAGGGTCCTGCTCTGCAGTGGCATGATCTTAGCTCACTGCAGCCTTAAACTCCTAGGCTCTAGTAGTTTTTCCATCTCAGTCTCTCAAGTGGCTAGGACTACAAGCACCCATTAGCATGCCTGAGTACTTTTTATTTTTTTGTAGAGATGGAGTCTCACTATGTTGTCTAGGCTTGCCTCAAACTCCTGGCCTCATGTAGTCCTCCCTTCTCAGCCTCACAAAGCCCTGGGATTACAAGTGTGAGCCACCACATCCAGCTTGCTAGTTTTTAAAATGTAATTTTGCCAGTTCCACTGAGCTCCTTCTGTCATTCTGGAAGTTCTTCTTTTTCATTTTTAAGCTTTTAAGATCAGGTTTGGGATCTTCTTTATATGTAGAGGCAAGGAAGTTTTTATTACCAAATATGATTTCCTCAAGATATTCTACTCATGCTAACAAAATAAATTATTCTGTGTTGTAGTCTAAAATTTATATCAGAAAACTTGAAACCAGTCTGGAAGGCAGCATTATTTTCCTCATATAGACCAGGATTTTGACTTTAACTTCATTTTCTGCCCAGCTTTTCAGTTTGTTGATCCAGACTGACTATTCCCAGGCTCTGTAAATAAAGATTCTCTTTGTAGCAGATAACATTACAGACAGGCTCTATCAGCATATCCATTGCCCTTGAAACTTTACAGAATGCTTTGCCACTTTGTACTAGATTTTTTTTCCTTCCCTACTTGCTTCCAATTATAAACAGGAAAATCAGACAGAGTATGTCATTGTGACTGAACAAGTTCATTCATCTAACATTACTTCATGACAGTAACTGGTGCATATTCTTTTTATTGTCTATAAATGTGTCCTAACCTAGAGCCATTATTACTATGGTTGCAATATTTTAAAGTATTAATTTAAATTTGACTTAACTCTTTGAGTGTAATTATGCATAATAGCCATTTCTTTGGAGAGAAAACCTACTGTAGAAAATTGTAATGTTTAATCTTCTAAAATCCATCTTTTGAAAGAAAGCTGGAGCAACAGTGAAGCAGAGCAATTAAATTAAATGTTAACAACATAGGAGAGAAGAAATAACTGTCCCTGTGTGAAAATGAGGCAGTAACTTAGGGAAGAACTGATGCTCAGGAGGCCTTGGGTGTTTCTTTGATCTTCTCTGTACTGCTGGCTATGATTCAAGACAAAAAAAAAGTATTATTCTCTGCTTTGTTTTTTTTTCCTGACTTTAATTGGAAAAGAATCACTTATCTCTCCTGCACATTAAGTTGTGGGGGAAAAAAATAGTGTAAATTGATAAGGAATTTTATAAGATTTGAAATGCTTCAGGAATGTTCAGTACAGTGGTATCTGTCTATAGTGCTGTCCTCTCTAAAATTATGACAAATATAAGATGGGTCTGTCCTAGGTCCCACTGAAAGCTATTTATAACAGAAAGTTCTGAAAAGATGTTGCTGAAACGCTTTCATTTATAACCTGGCCCAAAGCAAAGTCTTAGGTAAGGTGTCTTATAGCAGAGCACACATGTTACGTGTATGCTGTATAAAGGGAACTTTTCTATTTTCCATTCTCTTTTCTAATAGAGAAAAGATAGAACTCATAAGGCAAATATTTTTCTTAACTATTAGCTCCTATCTCATTCTTCCAAATTTTCTCATTATTTTCAGAAGAAAAACTAAATTTAGGTCGCATTTACTTTTTTTCTCTCTTTCTCACAGTTAAATGGCCAAATGAAATGAACATTATTAATAGAAAGAAGCAGCAGGAATTGTGAATAGGTTACTGGACAGTTGATCTTAAAATTTAAATCATTGTCTTTGTTATGTGGTTGAAATATATAAGGTAAGTAGTGGGTCCTAAACCAGAAGCCTTTGATCCTAGGGTGTTCTATTTTTCATTTCTTAGAAGCCAGTCACATTTAAAACATGAAGGAAAAAATGGGAAATAATCATAAAGCATTGCTTGAATTTCCAGACATACATAAAAAAATAACAAACCCAACCAGGCTCGGTGGCTCACACCTGTAATCCCAGCATTTTAGGAGGCCAAGGCAGGCAGATCACGAGGTCAAGAGATCAGGACCATCTTGGCCAACATGGTGAAACCCTGTCTGTACTAAAAATACAAAAAAATTAGCTGATTATGGTGGTGCATGCCTTTAGTCCCAGCTACAGGGGATGCTGAGGCAGGAGAATTGCTTGAACGTGGGAGAAGGAGGTTGCAGTGAGCCAAGATCACGCCACTGCACTCCAGCCTGGCGACAGGGTGAGACTCCATCTCAGAAAACAAACAAACAAACAGACAAACAAAACCCCTTCATTGAGCTTAGGCACTGTACTTGGTACTTTACTGCATTGTCTCATTCATTTATAACAATAACCTAATGAGGAAGGAGTCTGTCATTTTTCATTTTGTGATGAGCCAACTGTGGCCTAGACAAGGTAATAGAAACTTATTCCAGGCTACTACAGCTTCTAAAAATAGGATGGATGTTTTAAATGATGAAATTAAAAGGCAAATATTTTCTAAATTACCCAGTAGCACATATTCTTTGTTAAAAAAAAAATCAATGATACAGGAAATCAAATTTGTAACAAATCATCAGTAACTTCTATGTTTTTATATGTATAATTATACACACACAAAGAGTGAGAGAGAAAGAGAACTGAAAGATATGCAGTGAAATGATAGCATTGGTTAACCCTGGAGAAGAAAGGTGAGAGGTACCAGGAATGGAAGTGATGGTTAAAAAAGTCTTTAGCTTTATTTTGAATGATTTTTTGCAAGGAGAATATTTTTATGTAGTAGTTGTATAAAGTTAATAATTTAAAAACCCTTCAAGAATGAGGACAGGAAGCCAAATTCCAGATTGAGTTTAATTTTCTTTGACCAGCCTCTTTGTCTCCCCTCTAGAGAACTTCTTCATTACAATACCCAACCATGAATGTTTAAATCTTTTCAAAGATAATGCATACGTGTGTTAATTGGTATAGTTAAAATTATGGACTCATTGGTAATAAAGTATATGATGGTGGCTAAGTGCATAGATCCTAAAACTAGGATGTCTGGGTTTAAATCTTGACTTCTTCACATGACCTCTCTATGCCTTCCTTTCCTCATTTATAAATTTGTGTTTCTGGTAGTACCTATCTCTAGGTTCTTGTGAGACCTAAATGAGTTCTCATCTGTATAGTACTTAGAACAGTAGTTGGCACATAGTAAGCCATATAAAGGTTACTATTATTATCACTTTATCCTGACACTTAGAAAAAAATGATGGGAAATTATTATATATATCCAGACTTTTTTCTATGTATGTGTGTTAACATTTACATACACACACTTACACAGACACACACACATATATTGACAGGAGTAAGTATATTTTTATTAAAATTGGATTATGCTATTTCTATTTTTTGTAATCTTTTATACTCAACACCATATAAATATCTTTTTGGCCGGGTGCGGTGGCTTATGTCTGTAATTCCAGCACTTTGGGAGGCTGAGGCGGGCAGATCACAAGGTCAGGAGATCGAGACCATCCAAGATCATCCTGGGTAACACGGTGAAACCCCGTGTCTACTAAAAATACAAAAAATTAGTCGGGTGTGGTGGTACACACCTGTAGTTTCAGCTACTGGGGAGGCTGAGGCAGGAGAACTGTTTGAACCTGGGAGGTGGAGATTGCAATGAGCCGAGATCCCACCACTGCACTCCAGCCTGGGCAACAGAGTGAGACACTGTCTCAAGAAAGAAAGAAAAAAGAACTTTCTATGCCATTGAATGAAATAATGACTGCTTAAAATGAAAATTCCATGCATTTGGTCTTAACTAGTGTGATAGCATGGATCCTTTTGACCAAATACATGAACATGAGATAAATTGAAATTGCTTAGGGCTGTGCTTAAAACCTGAAGCGCTTATTGATGTTGACATAGCTTACTTGAATGGTTGAATAGATATTGGTATATTCTACCTAAGATTATTATTATTTGCCCAAATTGTTAAGCAATGATGTTCAACATTTTAAATGTTTACCTTCAGAGCCAATATGCAAGATAGAAAGCTGTTTTAAAGTGTCACAGATAGAAAGACACTTGAATACCACTCTTTGTAAAGAAGTAAAATGATCTGTAAAAAGTATACTTGTTATTAATAGAATTATTTATTTTCCTTCACCTCTTTCTGGCTTTTCAGGAGATGTTTCACCAAGCAGAAGAATTCTTATCTAAAACAACAAACAATGAGGTGGATGACATGGACACATCAGATACCCAGTGGGGCTGGTTTTACTTGGCAGAATGTGGGAAGTGGCACATGTTTCAGGTATCTCCTTTCCTTGAATTTAGCAGAAGTGTTTTTGATTCACTTAGCATCACCTTGCTGATATATGTAAAATGAGTATAAATATAGAACTTGAAGTCAAACCTTAAGAAAATCAAATCAGCCGGGCGCGGTGGCTCAAGCCTGTAATCCCAGCACTTTGGGAGGCCCTGGCGGGTGGATCACGAGGTCAACAGATCGAGACCATCCTGGTCAACATGGTGAAACCCCGTCTCTACTAAAAATACAAAAAATTAGCTGGGCATGGTGGCGCGTACCTGTAATCCCAACTACTCGGGAGGCTGAGGCAGGAGAATTGCCTGAACCCAGGAGGCGGAGGTAGCAGTGAGCCGAGATCGCGCCATTGCACTCCAGCCTGGGTAACAAGAGCGAAACTCTGTCTCAAAAAAAAAAAAAGAAAATCAAATCATTTAACTAAAAGAAAAGTTAGATATTCTTCTAGTCCTTTTCCTTTTCTTTTTCCCAGGTTTTCACAATCATGTATTTAGAAGAAACAGTATGTGTTTACTGTGTGTACAGAGGGTGAATGTGACTGAGAGTTGCATAGTGTCAGTACATCTGAGCAACTCCAAGTTTGATTTGGTGAACAAAGAGAAAGGGAAGAACAAATCCATATTAAACACTTCTGTATGCCAGGTATTATGTTAGGTGTTGTACATTTATTTTCTCCCTTATCCTCGCAATAACTTGGAAGCAGATGTTAACATTCTGTCTTACAGTCAAGGAAAGTGAAACTCAGAAAAGAAAGTTGACATAATTTGTCAAGGGTCACACAGCTAGTTAAACTGAGATTTGAATCCTTACTCAAAACCTGTAGTCTTTTTTTTTAACTCTACTAAACTATATAGAAAGATTTAATTTGAGCCACTTAGAAAGTATAATTATTGGAATAATCTGTAAAAATTGTAATTATCTGGAAAAGACTATATCCAGTTATTGAACGGAAGTATAACCAGTTTCTTCACTGGAGAAACCGTTTTGGTTAAACCGTTTTCAGTGTGCTGGCTTAGTTGTGATCCTCCCTGTGTGTTGGGAACTAGAACAGGTGATTAGCAAGTTTCCCTTGTCCCTCCATTCCCTGTCTCTATGACCACAGTACCACCTCTGTGGGAAAGTCATTAATGTGAACAGCTGGTAAATGAAACTTTCTGGTTTGTCTTAAAGCCGGATACCAACAGTCAGTGTTCAGTTAGCAGTGAAGATATCGAAAAAAGCTTCAAAGCAAACCCTTGTGGCTCCATTTCTTTTACTACTTCCAAATTCAGCTACAAGATAGACTTTGCAGGTATGTTTTTTTCCCTAATAGTTGTGTGTTTTTAGTATATTGATATGATAAAATCTTCAGCTCTGAAGGTCAGGATTAGTTGATATATTTGCAAGCAGCGAAGTATGTCTTTTTTGTTATATACAAAAATACCTCTATACAACTTCAAGTTTTAAGATCTTGAGCAACATTACCTTTTATGAAAGGTGTGTTTATATGTTTATATATATTAATGTATGTGAAGATTGTCATATATTTTAAGTGCATTTAATGTTTGCCTTCTAAGAAATGCAAAACACTGTATCAGTTGTTTTATTCCATGTCCCAGCAGTCTTTTGAAATAGGTAAGAACCTTTTTACTTTAAGGATCAAATTGCGATGTTAAGTGAGAAAGACATAGGTAGCTGGCAGTAGTTTCAAGAACAAGTTTTAGCTGAATGAACTTTCTCTTGGTGTCTTTGCCAGAAAATGATTTCTTTAATGGACATTGCCTTCTGCCATTTTTCTGATTTATTTGGCTCTCTCACAGATTAGCCAGATAATCTGGAAATCAGCCCTACTTTGGATTTCATCTGTGATATATATGGACATGTTTTGGGGTATCCCATGAAAAACCTGATGAACTGAGCTCCTCAAGTTTCAAGTTGCTGGTTTCAGCTATTTATTGCTTAGACGCAAACAAGTCCTAAATGAGAGGCTTTCTTAATAAAAGTGCATTTTGGTTGCTACACAGCTAATCCTTTAGCTGCTCTTTCCTAGTTCCTGTGAGTCTTGTGTTTATGACAGTGTTGGTAGTGTACTGTGGCTGGGTAGTGTGGTGAAACGTTAGGAAATTCCCTTGGATGAGCCAGGGCCCAGGAAGAGTGAAGATTTGTCCAGTAACAGGCTGATGCAGCCAAATACGTAATAATTATTATCCCACCACAGTTGTTTTCTTGCTTTTTTTTTTTTTAATTATCAAGAGTTAAAAACCATTAGGGCCGGGTGCAGTGGCTCACACCTATAATCCCAGCACTTTGGGAGGCCAAGTGGGCAGATCACAAGGTGAAGAGATCGAGACCACCCTGGCCAACATGGTGAAACCCCATCTTTACTAAAAATACAAAACTTAGCTGGGTGTGGTGGCACGTGCCTGTAGTCCCAGCTACTCGGGAGGCTGAGGCAGGAGAATCACTTGAACCCAGGAGGTAGAGGTTGCAGTGAGCTGCACCACTGCACTCCAGCCTGGTGACAGAGCAAGACTCTGTCTCAAAAACAAACAAACAAACCCATAGTTTTAAAACCAAGATTCAAGAGGCCCTGACATTTGTCCCTTTGCTGCAGTCTAGGCAGAAGGTGTCTGTTAGGCATTTTTAGCCATGTGTACAAGTGTTGTTTTTGAGGCAGAACTGAAACAGAGTGCACAGACACCAGGTCTCATGTAGAGGGTGAAATGTATCAAAGAATTTGGTAGATAATTCAGCAAGCCACATGTTTCTGAAAGATATATTTTTTTTAGTAGACTACACTTTTTGGAAACTTGATCTTAGAAAATAGAGTTTATTAAAAATATTGTTATTGAGGAATAGAAGTTACATATACTAATAACTTGAGTTCCCCAACCCTCTGTGTAATGATCTTGTTTCAAAGATGTAGGTATTAGCATTTCCCATGTACTCTTTGCAGTTATTAGCTCCAGCCATTCTGCCACTAGCCAACTCAGATTCTCTCTATAAAAATGGTGAAAAGTAAACTCAAAATGAAATGGTCCAAGCAGATGGCATCACAGGTCTTGCTCCATATGCTGAGGTGATCTTGCTTTTTCCCTGAACAGTGGTAAATCCAGTATGTGTAGAGTGTAGGAGAACACAGAACGGACAGAACATGCTTTATACTAGCATTGGCCTGGGTGGGTAAACCTATTCACTCTGAAATGGAATGATGTCAATTAGATGAGATAAACTGACTGGAATCTTAACATTAAGAATCACTGCTTAACTTTGGGGAATGAAGAAATGGACCCGGTAAATATTGCCATGACCGAGGCATGGGTGAAAGAAGAAAATGATAGCTTTAAGTAATTAGTCTTTTATCACTAGAATATTTTTACATAAGTTCTTGTACTGAGACTAGCCAGGTTTTCTGTTTTTTCAGTTTAGGAGAGAAATCAAGAAATGTAGAAGTTTTTTGAAATTCTGTGAGTTGTGCAAGTTTTATAATGGTGAAAATTTTATCATTTCCAAAATTTTGGGGGACATGAAAGTACATTTTTCTACTTAATAAGCCAACTACATTTAATACTGTAATTTCTCTCTTTCTAGTACTCTTAGCTTTCTTAACTGTAGAACTCTCCTATTTTAGTGTTTGTTTAACCTAAGTGTGATACAGAAAGGGAATAGACTGTGCATACTGAGCAGTGGATGAAAGTAGTGTCTTTATATGTGAGCTTAGATCAAGCAATGAAGCTGTGCTTCCTTGAAAGCACCTTCACAACATGATACATGGCTATATGGTAAAGTATCCATAATATACTATGCTTGCCAGCTACTCCCAAAGCACCATGATTCCTGATGATCACATAGCGTGGCTACTAATCTTCATGACACTTTATAGCACAGTGTGTTTTTATGACTTATCTAGTATCTTGTCTTTGTATACAGAAATGAAGCAAATGAATCTCACCACTGGAAAGCAGCGCTTAATAAAAAGAGCCCCCTTTTCTATCAGTGCTTTCAGGTATGGTAAAGAGAATAGGGATAGAAAGAGTGGGCTTTCTCTTTCTTACTAATGGACAGAAAAAGAAATAGACTGAAAATATTTTGGTAGGTCATTTACTAATATTGATCTTTTAAATATTAAAACTCATTTGTTGACAAAATAGCAACATTATTTTTTTCTCTAAGTGCTTCCTTTCCTGTTATCCTTTTCTTTTCTTCTTGTATATTTATATATTTTAATTCTTTAGAACACTTTGCATGATAGTTACAAAATGCATGGTTTCTACTCTGAATTCATAAAATAACTCACTGAGATAAGTTTGAATTGTTAACTTGGCAATACTCTCTCAGAGCCATACAATTATTGGGGCTGTAAGTCCTAGGTATTGTCCACTTTGTTTCCACCTCCTTTGATCTCCATTGGTCAACTCCTAGAAATAATTTCAAATTTGTAGAGACTAAAGGAGACCTAAGGAAGACGGTAGAACAATGGCCAACAGTACTGCTTTCTGTTTCCTGGAAATTGGTTACAAATTTCTTTTTTGCTTGCTGTGGCCTGCTCTGGCCATAAGTAGTCTGAAAAAGGAGGTATAAATGTTATAAAGCATTTAAACCTATTTCTAATATTTCTAATATTTTAGAAATAAAATATTTATTATTCATGTGAATGGTCTTGAAGGAGAAAATCTTAAAGCATGTCTCCTATTTTCTACAATGATTGCTCAAGCAAGTATTGAAATTCTTTTTGTTCAAATAAGTCAAAATGAAACTGAAAAAAAAAAAAAAAAGGTAGCATGTGAATTGGAGAGAATGCCTATTGGCTCCTTCCAAGGAGATTTTCGAAAGGATTAAAGAAATATATTTTAAGTTTCTTCAGTTTGTTTCTTAAGACTTTTGGTTTTATTTTAGCATTTATTTTGGTTTTATTTTAGCACCATGATTTAAAAGTTATTCCAAGTACTTACATAATGAATGAATAGTACTTCTATGGAATATAGAGAATAGTACTTTTTTATTAGCTACATCATATTCACATTCTTTAGTACAAAGAATATAATAAAAGAATTACTTATCTTCAGAAAGTATTTAATCTGGGAGAAAGAATGAAAAACGAGACATAATAATGGAAGATGTTATTGTAATTGTACATTATATCTGCTATGCTTTGGTGGAGGCAAAAAGCACATGATGGGATCAAACACTTTGTTCTGTCACAGACGGTACAAACCATAGAACAAAGACAGGACAAGGAGAGAATTAAGAGAGTGGAAGGCTATAAGCAAGATAATAATAAAAGGAGAGGACTATTTAGGTAAGATACAATAGGGTATTGAAGGTCAATAGGTGCTGATATAGAAATGTTTATTTATTGTGGGAATACAGTGAGCATTTATTACATGCAAGGTAAATAATACATGCTTCCTATTGGCAAAGAGTTATTTAAGGCTGTTGGCTGCATATAAACTAAAAAAAAAAAAAAAATTTGGTCATAGCTAAAAGATACATTAGGCCAAGTATGTTTTAGGTATTTTTTTTCCTCACAAAAAATTGGGAAAATATTTTCATTCATTGTTATAGTTGAAGGGCTATTCTCCATAGTATATGAAGCACCTTTAGGACTCTAAATAGAAGATCAACATGGGCAAATAATTTGAACAGTTCATACAACCTCACTCATAATCAGAGAAAAACAAATTAATACCAGACTGATTTTTACTATCAGAGTGACTAAAATTCAAAAGTTTGATAACATACCTTTTTAGAGTGGTTGTGGGAAAATAGGCATTTTCTGTATTTCTGCTGAGAATGTCAGTAGGTACGTTCAAAGACAGCATTTGGTTGGTATCTTAAAATCATGAAAAAATATATTCTTTGACTCAGAAATTCTATTTAAAATATGTTATTTTACAGACAGACAAGTGGACATAGAATATGACAGATGAACAAATATGTTTCTCCAACATTCTTTTTTTTTTTTTTTTTTTTTTGAGATGGAGTCTCACTCTGTCGCCCAGGCTGGAGTGCAGTGGCACCATCTTGGCTCACTGAAACCTCTGCCTCCTGGGTTCAAGCCATTCTCCTGTCTCAGCCTCCCAGGTAGTTAGGATTACAGATGCATGCTGCAATGCCTGGCTAATATTTTGTATTTCCATAGAGACAGGGTTTTGCTGTGTTGCCTAGGCTGGTCTTGAACTCCTGAGCTCAGGTAATCCACCTGCCTCAGCCTCCCAAAGTGCTGGGATTACAGGCATGAGTCACTGTGCCCGGCCAGCATTCTTAATACAGTAGCAAAAAGTTGGAGACAAGCTAAATATCATTAGGGGACTAGTTAAATAAATTATGGCATATCCATACAGTGGAATTCTGTACATCTGTAAAATAAAAGTCATTCACTCATTCAGTACTTATCGAGTGTATACCATATGCCAGGCTCTGTTGTAAGCACTAGGAATAAAGCCTATTGAATATTGTGTATTAAATAAAATTAAAACTCCTCAACCATTCATTCAGTGTTCTCCAAGATCTAACTCAAACCTAAACCTTTCTCTTTTAATTGCCCACTATTCTCTCCAACAGTTCACTAACTTCAAGGGTTATTATTAGCATAGTCAGTTGGCGAATCTTAAAAACTGTCAAATATGTTCAGGCCACTCACTGGATGTGAATACAGAAAAAAACTATGTACTATTACAGAAAGATCTCTAAGAATCTATGAAGTAAAAAAAAACCAAAAAAACAGGTGCAATAAATGAATGCTTTATGCTACCATTTGTGTGGGGAAAAAGCTTGGCTTGTATTAACCTAAAGGAGCTCTGGAAGAATACCCAAGAGACTAAAATAATAATTACCAGGAGTTGAGGCAAAAAGTGAGACTTGGACATACCAGGGACTGGGGTGGGAGGAAAACTCACTGTGTATTTCTTTATACATATTAATTTTTAAATAACATATTTGATTTTTTCATTAAAATAAATTTAAAAAAGTAAAGATTGGTTTGAAATTTATTAATTTCTTTAGTAAGCTGCAGTCACTGGAGAGGACTGGTGTGTCCTTTTCAGCCTTTTGCTATTAAATCCCACAATGTCACTGTGTTTTTCTGGTATTCACATCCAATGCCTTGAACATGTTTTGATAGTTTTTAAGATTTGCTGGCTGACTGTGCTAATAACCCTTAAAGTTAGTGGACTGTTGGAGAGAGTAGAGGGCAATTAACAAAGAAGGGTTTAAGTTTCAGTTAGATGTTGAAGAACATCGAAAAAATGGTTGAGGAGTTTTGATTTTATTCAATAGGCAATATAAATATGAGTTTCAGCCTTTTGTTTTCATCAGAAGTTTGTGTTTTTTTCTTTAATTTCTTTGTCCAAAATCTTCTTTACATTTTAAAGAAATTTTGGAAATTTCAAAAAAACAAGATAGAACTAAGCAACTGTTTTTGAAATTTGGATGATAGACAGGGTTGGATATTTTCCATCAAAAATTCACTGTTTAGCACCTAAAAAGTAGCAGACATAGACATTCAATAGTTTTTAAAGAAACCAAAGGCTATATGTAATTGCATTTGTCACAATATGCTGAAAATGAAAATTAAGCTTTGAAGAAAAGGCTAAATTCTTGACAATCATGACAATTAGCTGCTGATACTTTGTTTTGTTTTTTTGCTATTTCAAGTTATATCTGTGAAAATGAAGCTATCCCTATGCCACCACACTGGGAGAATGTGAATACTCAAGTACCATATCAGGTAGGAGCAGAACTGACTGAATATACCATGAAGGAAACTGGAAAGGACTGCAATAAAGCTATGCGAACTTATTTTTCCAGCTTATTACTCTGCACAATCAAACACATGAATATAATGAAGTTGCCAATCTCTTTGGGAAAACGATGGATCGCAACCGAATCAAAAGAATTCAGAGAATTCAAAACCTAGATTTGTGGGAGTTCTTTTGCAGGTGAGATGATTTCTAATCTGAACCTTCTCCTTACTGCTAAGTCTTTTATGACTAAAATGTAAATATTGAATTGTATTACTTTTCAGTGATATAGACATGCTGTTTTTCTCTTGCCATATTTTGACCTAGTCTCAGGGCTTTTGTTCAGCCTTCTCAGGGAGGGAAGAAGCTGCTCTGTAAACTTTGCTTGTAGCATTGTAATGTGAGAAGCTCCCTCCTTTCAAGATTTAGAGCTGTGCATCTTGGCCGAAATCAGCATTACAGAGGAGTCTGGGAGCTGTTTAGCATTGTTGATATGACTTACTTGGCTCGGCCTCATATTAGAAGTCTGTGCAAACACTGTTTGTTTTGTTTTTAACAATCATTCTTGCCAATAGCCTTTTGTCTGTTTTATTTTAAAGAAGACTTTAAAATGTAACTTCAAATTTCCTGCTTAGCCTAAAGTTTATTTTTTAGCGTTAATCTCAATTCCCTACTAGATTTAAGTTGGAAATGACCCATTGGGTGACTCATTATTCACTTAACTGAAAATAAAGTCCATTAAAGAAAACTTAAGGTATTAAAAGTATTATCCAAATTAGCCCATTCTGCCATATTTTTATGACCTGTAAAAAAGTAAAGTAAGTGGTTCTCTGAAATATTTTTAACATTTGTAGATGAGATTTGATTTCTAATATTTTTAAGTATAAGCTGACTTTGAAGTTTTTATTCAGAGAAATTGCAAATGAACACAAAGTAGAGTCTAATATAATTAGACTCATGTATCTATCATCCTGATTCAACATCTGTCAAGATTTGCCACCATAAACGGTCTCCTTTTTTGTTATTGTTGCTAGAGTATTTTAAAGCAAACCCAGACCGTAACTCATTTCAGTTCTACATACTTAAGAATTAGGCTGACTTTTGTTTGGTAATGATACATGGAATTCTTTCATGCTTCTGACCGACTAGTTAATGTGGCCTATGTACATTCCAGGTTTATTCTCATCACAGTTTTTGGTAAATAAGGGGCTTTCAGCTGTGTTCTTTATAGTTTTGGGTCTGTTGACCAAACCAGCTTTTATTTCTGACAATAACTGAGTTTAACTGAGTTTAGAAAGTTGAATTTAGTTCTTGTTTAGATGATTCTTTTGTAGAGGAAGACAGAAGCCTCTGCCTCCTTTGACTTTATTCTCTCAGGGAATAAAGTACGTTTTTCCAAAATAGTCTGATGAAAACTTAATTCATTATTCTTCATCAGCCCTTTGAAGTGACAATCAAGTTGGTCTGTCTCATTACTTGAGTCCTCAATTAAATCATAGTGGTAAAAATGTACCAGTGATTCCCCAGAACATTTTATACTAAGAATTTCACTGGAAACAGTTTTACTCTGGTGATGCCCTTCATGGTTTTATATAATGTCAGCCTATAGAAATCTGTGATGGTAAATGAATCTGTCACCTGCCATGACAGTACAAAATACTGAGTCTCATTATAAGGGCAGCCTGTCATTTTAACATCTTCCTGAAGAACTAAAATAACTTGGTCTGTCTCACTGTCACATAACCTGTGACTCACCATATAGGTAGTCAGTCCCACAGGAGTCCATCTAGCATCAGTTTTCACATTGCCTAGGTCTCTCTGACTTCCCCCACTTTTTCTAACAAAAACGTCTTAATACCTACTTTATGACAAACACTGTTCTGGGAACTTGGAATAATGGTACAGAGAACCATAGCTTAGACAAGGAGCCAGACCGTTGTAACACAGAAATGTAGGGGTCACCACAGGGCATCATAGGAGCACAAAGTGAGGGGATCCATCCATCTTTGCCGACAAAAGTAGGGGATGTGGAGTGGGGTGGGGAGAATGTGGGATCCCTGGATACCAGTTGGATAGGAGAAGGGCATCTCAGGCATCAGGAGCAGTAAAAGCCAAAGTCTGGGTATAAGAGGTAGCAGAGAAAATTGAAACAATTTCAGATTGAACAGAAATTAGGTAGAATGGCGAGAGAGGAGGCTGGAATAGTATCGAGGCAGAGCATGCAAGAGTTTGTAGTAGCACTACTGGGGTGGTTGTGTAACTGTCTTTAGTAGCCTTAGGTGAGTTGGACTGAACCAGAGTGGAAGTCAGAGAGTTAGCAGGGTCCAGACCATGTGGGGCCTTATAAGCTAAACTAAGAGGTTTGGATTTTTTCCTGGGATAGTAGAAAGCCATTGTAGAACTTTAAGCAAGAGAATGATGGAAGTGATTTGCATTTTAGAAAAATAATTACGCTGTACCACGGAGAAGGTATTTAAAGCAGTGGTTCTCAACCGGGAGTGGTTTTACCTGCTGAGGGACATTTGGTAATGAATGTTAGGTGACAGGGTGCTACTGGCATCTACTGGATAGAAGCCAGGGATGCTAAACATCCTACAGGGCACAACAACCAAGAAGCCTTCCACAACAAAGAAATGTCTAGCACAAAATCTCAGTACTTTAAAGGGATCACAGTTTGAAGCAGAGACAAATTTAGGAAATTGTTTCAGTAATTAGACCGAGACACACTGGGTTGCCTGACCCAACGTGGTATCTGCTGTGTTGGAGACACAGTTTTGAGGTATTAAGGTTGTAGAATGATAGTGCTTGGTGCTTCACTTACTGTATGCGATGGGGTGAATAAGGGAGATGAGAAAGATAACTCCCAAGTTTTTGGCTTGTTTTACTTGACTAAGGGAATATCAGTAGGAACATCTGTAGGGATGATGGAAAGGGAGTAGTAGTTGATATACAACAGCTGACATATGAGTTAGGAGTTCAGAAGAGCGGTGTAGATGAGAGACAAAGGTTTTAGAGTTGTTAGAAAATGTGGGGTAATAGAAACTATAGGAATGAAGAAGATGACCAGAAAGCGTAAATACATTAAGGAAAGAAGAGGGCCAAGGGCCAATTCTGGAAGGGATGAACAGAGGAAGAGAAAACCCAGGGAGGAAACTAACAGCCACAGAAAGTCGGAGAAAACCAATAGAAGGTAAAGCCACAGAAGCTGGAGGGAGAATGTGGTTTATACAAGTAGGTGCCATCTGTAGGATTACATACTGAAAAGATGTCAAGTAGGATAAATTTCAAAAGTTCCTTTGCATTTTGCAATAAGAAGGTCATTGGTAACCTAGATAAAAGCAATGTTGGTAGACACCATATTGTGTATATAGCAAATGTTGACAACTTTTTCAAGAAACTTGGCAGTGAGGAGGATGAGAGATGTGAGAAGACAGATACTGTAGGGTTATTGTTATGTTACGTAATCATGGGAGAGAGCTGAACATTGTAATTGGGAAGGACTTACGGAGAAGGAGAATTTAAAAGATCAGAAAAAGAGTGGAAGGGCAGTTGATGGATTCCAGCTCCTGAAGAAGTGTGATGAGATGAAATTCTGAGAACATACGTCAGAAAGGAGATACAGAAGGGTGGTCCAGTTATGTTTACAGATAAGTAGAGGTAGGGGATGAGAAGAGGAGTTAGGTTAATGAGTTCCTTCCTAAGGCCTTCCATTTCTTTTGTGAAAGAAGAATGGAGGTTGCCTACAGAGAATAAAGTGTTAGGGAGGTGTTGATAAGAGGGAAAGGAAAGGGGAAAGAGAAGATTTGAAATGGCCATTGGGGAAAATGGGGAGAACGAGCTATCTTGGGAACCACAGGATTTCTGTCAGTACTGAGAGCTTAGCTAAAGTTGGAGTATGTGAATTTATAGTGAGAACCATGGGGATGTTGTGTGATGTGCTTCAGCAGCACAAATGTAAGAGCAGATAGTGGAGATGGTTGGATTGATCCACAGCTGGAAGTATAAGGCAGCGAGGAAAGCAGAGCATCTTGTTAATAATGTGAATTTAGATCAGAGATTTTCAAACCTAGTTGCAGGTCAGAATCACTGGTGGAACTTACTAGCAAGTGGAGATACCTGTCACCTATCACAGATCTACTGCATCAGAACCTCTGGGTTCTTACATTTTTACCTTAAAAAATTCTATAAGTGATTCTGTTGTTCAGCAAGATAAAAATCTGTTATAAATCTAGGCAAACTTATTTCAATCCAGAGCATGGAAGTATTCCTGCTCTAGTACAGAGCATGTGACATACACACTTTAGCCAGTTTGGCACTCTAGTGCCTAAGAGGTGGAAATTTTGTGAGACATCATGAGAAGTGGGTGTAATAGTACTTGGAGTAAGTTCAGGAACGATTGTGGGTCTGGGCAAAGCTGGGCAGGATTGTGAAGAACTTAGTGTAGTCCTGTGACTTTCCTTGCAGATGTAACTAAAGTTCATGAGGCCCTGGAACTCATCTTTAGCGTTTCTGGAACACCAAGGTCATAATCTGTGAATGTCCAGATTTCGTGGCTGCCTTATTAGTGGTAGTAGTGAACACTAGAAAAACTGTGCTGTGCGGATACAAAGCTTTAACCACTGTGCTCCTGCTCTGCCTTCAGCTGGTTTATATGCACCATCTAATATAGTAACTAAGCATTGTTTTCCATGCCTGCATATGCCCATCCTTCATGCCCTTTAACCCACAGTTTATTTATATTATATAAGAGAAACTCCAGACAATTTTCTAACTGAGATTTACTCTAATTTGTACCTACAAAGTAGTGATAACTGAATTTTTTTTCTTTTTTCTTTTTTTTTGAGACGGAGTCTCACTCTGTCACCCAGGCTGGAGTGTGGTGATGCGATCTTTGCTCACTGCAACCTCCCCTTCCCGGGTTCAAGCAATTCTCCTGCCTCAGCCTCCCAAGTAACTGAGATTAGAGGCACGTGCCACCACACCCAGCTAATTTTTGTGTTTTTTAGTAGAGACGGAATTTCCTGAGTGGATTCTAGTCATTGCAGGTCATGAAGCACAACATTGACAAGTTTGACATTACAGAGCATAAAGCCTGGCATTGTGTATGATACTAATGTTTCTTTGAGAAAACCAGGATGGATTGACTAATGCCAAACCAATTAATAGCATTACCATAGTGGTAGATGGTGAGGCCCCTTAGATAGTCTAGCTTGGTTTCTCACTTTATAGTGGTTGAGAAAGTTTCTTTTCATGAAGAGAAGATGGAGAAATATGTGCTGGTTGATAGTTCAGAGAGAAACACTAGTAGAAAAAGGCTTATGCAAAGAGTAATTCAAATGGCATGTATGCTTTCTTCTTGGGTCCATCAATATTTTTATCAGGAACTTGGATGAAAATGTAGAGGGCTTGCTTATCACACTTGTGAAAGATTCAAAACTAGAAGGGTAGCTTATTTGTTGAGTGAGTGAATTAGCAGTCAGAAAGACCTTGGAAGGTTGAAACAGTGGGTCCAAACAAGTATTGTCTTTTTTTTTTAATTTAAAAAACTTTTTTTTCCATTTTTATAAAGGGAACAAATGTACATTGTTTAAAAAAAGTGAGAACATAAAGTCCTAAAAACGGAAGTTGGTATAATTCTTAGTGAAATTATGCTTTTTGTAGCATGAACATTTGCTCAGTGCACATCCTTCTAATGTCATACTCAATAGTCTGAAAAGACTGTTACAAATAGATCAAAGCATGTACATGTAAATTTTGGTACATACTGCCAAATGACTCTTGAGAAAGACTGTATGCATTTTCATTCTGTCACCATTTAAATGCAAGTATCCATTCCCGCACATATTCATCAAGCTGCATGTTGTTTATAAAACTCAGTCCGAGATATGGATATTTACTATACCAAGTAAAGCTTAACCGAAATAAATCTATTGCATTCAGTTTATAAATCAGTTGTACAGATCTAGCAAGCTAAGAGAGGTCTGGTTTGAAAACATCCTGGGACGATTAACTGACTACACACTTGATTATGGAGGCCGTTTGTGGCCCGTGTCACCAAAATGCATTCAGTGCTGTCGGTAGAGTCAGTGCTGTCTGATGATATCTGAACTGTTTCTATTTTACACCAACATTTATAAACTAGAGAGTATCCAGTAGATTCTTGTTAACTAAAGTCTGTTGGGATAAAGAAAGACCTAGAAGCTATGCCGTGTCAGGAGTAGTTGAAGGAATGGTGTGCATTTAACCAAGAAAAGAAAGCCTCGCTAGGTGTTCATAGTTATTTTTGGATATTTGCAGAGTTTTGTGTAAGAGTTATCCGAATTGTTTGTGTTCAAAAGAGAATAACTAAGACCAACAGAAGGCAGATTTTGGTTTGGCATTGGGATGGAAGTACTTTCCAACAATTATAGCTAATTAGAAATAGATTGTGCTGTTTTACAAAGTGAGCACCTGATGCTGCGAGTACTTGACCCTGGATGGATTGAAGCAGGCATTAAATAGGTATCAGATATCAGGGGGAGGATATTCTTCTTAATTTTTAAAATACGATTTTGATGAAATATTTCAAGAATGAAAATGCAGCAAATAGTTTACAGACTTCCATGTATCTACCAATCAGATTTAACATTTTAATACTTGTCACATTTCCTTCCTCTTCACACAGATACAGGTGAAGTGTTTACTCCATCCTTTTCCTACTCTCTTCTTTGCTCCTGAGATTGGTGTGATGCTTATTGTTTGTATTTTGTATTTTTTACTACCTGTGTATGTATACCTATACAATACACAGTATTATTTTGAGTTCCCTGTCTTTTTGCAAAATTCTTTTTACATTCAATATTATTTTTCAAGATTTACTGTGTTAATACACATAGATCTACTTCATTACTTTAAACCTTTATATATAAATACATGACTATATATTTATTTCTCTGTGAAATAATTTTAGGCTGTTTCAGTTACAATCAGTCCTACATGATGCTTTTATGTGTTAGGATAGATTTGTCCTGGGGAAGTGGATTAAACTGGATGGCTTAATGTCCCTCCCAACCCTGTGGTCCAAAATTTAGCCAATTCAGCCAACACTTTCTAGTTTCTGAGGATAAAAAGCATATGACATGGTCCCTGCTCAAGGAATCCACTGTCTAAAGTCTCTGCAAACTTTGTATTACTGGTTTGTTGTCTCATTTTTAGGCATCTATAAAGCTTAGCTGGTTTAGACGATCAATACTTTTACGATGTTGGGGCATAGCATGGGATAACTATAGTTTTTGGTATAGTTTTCAACCTTAAGTTTCAGTGTTAACTAATAATTTTTGATGAGATGATTTATGTGTCCAAGAACATTTGAAATTATTTCTTTTCCGTACTTGCTTTGTCCATTTATGATTTATATTAAAATATTTTGTTTCACCCTTTCTATTGAACTTTGCTCATTAAGATTAATAAATACTACTTATGGTATATTTCTGTGTGCCTTTATGTCTGTGTGTATTGTGTTTTTAGGAAAAAGGCTCAGCTCAAGAAAAAAAGAGGTGTGCCTCAGATTAATGAACAAATGCTATTTCATGGTACCAGCAGTGAATTTGTGGAAGCAATTTGTATTCATAACTTCGATTGGAGAATAAATGGTGTACATGGTGCTGTCTTTGGAAAAGGTAATTATCAGAATTCCAGGTCCAATTTGAGTCCTAGGAGAGAGTTTCCTCTCTTTAGATGTTTTTTTTTAATAAATTAGGATTTTGGCAGTCATTAAGTTAAAAGTTATTGTGCTAGGTTCCAGGCATACCCTAAGAATTTCTGAGTGACAGAAAAGTCACTTCTTACATTTACATTTACAAGATGGAAGTAAGACTCTTAATGTCTCTACCAGGTTTAATAGCTCCCCAAGTCCCAGTCATCCAAAAAGGGCATCATGTCTATATTAGCTGATCTTTTTGCATTATGTTTAATTTTTATATGTAAGTTCTTTCCATATATTAGCCTATACACTAAACTGCTTTATGGCAAATATACAGAGAATGATAAAACAAATTGATTATGATTGCTTTATGCACCAGAATAGGTACTAGTGTTTTTGTTTTTAAGGAAACAATAGGTAAGAATATTATCGAGCAATAAGGAATAGTGGGGGGAAAGTGTATGTTATTTATAATGTTGTGAAAATCCAGGCTTTTCCATTTATGCCTGCTATTTAAGCAAATTAAGGAGAGAGGTGAGGGGAAAAGGTATGGAATGGACATTTATTTTTCTGGCCCTTCTTTTGTACCTTACCTCCAGCAAGAGAACTGTCTGCCATTTAGGATCAGTGTATGCTGCATTTTGAAAATGTAATTTTAAAAACAACTACTAAAAAGACCATTCCACTTAACTATAAGGAGGTCAGAAGGTGTTACATAAATCCCATCAATGTTAGGTAAATAAAAATTAATTTCCAAAATTTTTTAGAGTATGTATGCCCTTAATGATGTTGGTCGATCTCTTTCTACTATTTCAGAAGAGTTAGCTGCTTTATCGAATTTTCATGTGTAGGCAGTGAGCCAGTAAAATAGTTTTTTTTGGAATGCTCATATATGAATAGCATTATATCCTCTCAGAAATCTTTTCATGGATATGGGATTCTATTGTCTCCAGAAATATTACTGAATGTTATCCTGTATCATGGAAATATGGTTTCTTGGAGTTTAAAAAAATCTCTGTAGGCCATCAGTCTCCATTGTGTTCTCTAGAGCTTTGCTGGATGCTGACAAGGGAGCAGGGTGAGGAAGTGGTGGAAGGAAATAGAAATGGGAGGGAGGGCCACGCAGTAAAACTCAGGGCTGGTGTGGTGGCTCACACCTGTAATCCCAGCACTTTGAAAGACCCAGGCAGGCAGATCACCTGAGGTCAGGAGTTCAAGATCAGCCTGGCCAATGTGGTGAAACTCTGTCTCTACTAAATAAATATAAAAATTAGGCTTGGTGGTACGCGCCTGTAATCCCAGCTACTCAGAAGGCTGAGGCAGGAGAATCACATGAACCCGGCTGGCAGAGGTTGCAGTGAGCCGAGATCGTGCCACTGCATTCCAGCCTAGGCGACAGAGCGAGACTCCGTCTCAAAAAAAAAAAAAAAAAGTTTGGCCAGGCATGGTGGTGCGTGCCTGTAGTCCCACCCCGCAAAAAAAGGCCAGTCGCAGTGGCTCATGCCTGTAATCTCAGCACTTTGGGAGGCTGAGGCAGGATAATTGTTTGAAACGGAAAACAGAAGTTGCAATGAGCTGGGATTGCGCCACTGCACTCCAGCCTGGAGATAGAGCCAGATTCCATCTCAAAAACACAAAACAAAACAAAAAAACAACTCAGGTTCAGCTACACTTTTAATATATGTTTTATTAATTGGATTCTTTGTAAGACATTTTAAAAACAGAAGTCTGGTAGCTATATTTTAGTGGATGGGGGCAGGGGATGGTGTGGTGGTGAGGACTTTTCTGTACCAACAAATCTATTTCTATGGCAGTCTACACCACAGATTGATTTCTATTCTTTTCTTAAAGATCTGCAGATGAGGAAATTCCACATCTATTTTTATTATACAATTCCATGCATCTATTCCCCTGACAAAATGTTTTTGCTTGTTTTTAATATATTCTTAGGAGTAATCTTGGCTTTTCTTGATCCTCTTTGTTTAAGGAACGTATTTTGCTAGAGATGCTGCTTATTCCAGTCGTTTCTGCAAGGATGACATAAAGCATGGAAACACATTCCAAATTCATGGTGTCAGCTTGCAACAGCGGCATCTGTTTAGAACATACAAATCTATGTTTCTTGCTCGAGTGCTAATTGGAGATTACATAAATGGAGACTCCAAATACATGCGACCTCCTTCCAAAGACGGGAGCTATGTGAATTTATATGACAGCTGTGTGGATGATACCTGGAACCCAAAGATCTTTGTGGTTTTTGATGCCAACCAAATCTATCCTGAGTACTTGATAGACTTTCATTGATTTCACTTCCAAATCTCAGTTGTCAAGAAGGCTTTATTCCTTTTTGCAGGAAGATTTGCTCTCCAATCGTCTAGCCACTAAATGTTAATTATCTGATATGAAACAGATAGGAAAAAAAGGTGGCCTCTATATAAAAAGACAATACTGACTTTAAGGTTGGTTTTTGCCTGTTTCTTGTAGTCTTGTTTGTTAAAAATTGATAACATTGTCATTTTAACGCATGGGGTGAAAGATACCATTCAAAATGGAATCCGATGAGTGTTAACTAATGTGGTCATTCAGATCTTTAAAGTTTACATGTGTGTTATAAATGACTAGTTCAAATAGACTTACTCGTATAAATGTTGAAAAAATAGAAATACAGACAAAAAGATGTCCATTTAGAGGAATTGATCCTTTGTAAATTGAATTCAGGTAGTAGTATCATCCACCAATTCATATGTTGCTTTGTTGGTCTTCTGAAGGAGGGATTTAAAACTCTGAAACAATCTGAGTACCTTGAGAGAAATCCGAAACCACAATTATTTGCAGTGCTGTCAAACAAGTCAGAAGGAGGAAATCAAGGTAGAGTGTCCTGCTTTCCAGTTGCCTTAGGATAGCAGGCTGCAGCCTCAGACTTACTCCTGTCATTCTCCTCTGTCTCCTACATCTGAGTTGATAATTGCTGCAAAATATCATTAGCCTACACTTCATCCACCAGGGCTCTTGGATTCTTGCACCACCACTTGCTGTGCAAGGTATTTATTGCATCTTCAAAGTGAAACTTCAAATTATTATTCAAACATTTATTTTCCTTTTGTTTTAGAATCCCAACAATGATCACTTCAAAGATTTTTTTTAACCTTTTCCCCTGCAGTTCACACAGCTATTCAACAATTATTTCTAAAATTCATATTTTAAATTTGTGTCTCTCCATTTTGAAACATTATAGAAAGCATGGAATGCTTGAGACAAATCTGGTTTATCCTTTTAAGTAGCTTTTGACAACCTACTCTCTTGAAAAGTTAAGTATAATTTTTAATCAGGCTTAGTGGAAATTTGTTTACCTGTTCCATCTGTTTTGCTGTTCCATTGTAAGGCAGATGAGAAGTGTTGGAACACCTTCCTTCCCCTAAAGGTGTTCTAGCAGAGGCGAAACAGCAACTTGGCAGGCACGTTGTATAGGAGTTCAAGCACCAGATGGGAAATTGCCCGTGTGATGGGTAAGAGTCTTTCACCTTTCTTTCTTTCCTTTCTCTTCTTTCTTTTGTCTTTCTGTATTTCTCTTTCTCTTTCCTTATCTTTCTCCCTCCATCCCTCCCTCTCTTCCTTCCTTCTTCCTCCCTCCCTTCCTCCCTTCCCTCCTTCCTTCCTTCTTCCCTCCCTTTCTTCCTTCTCTTTCTTTCCTCCCTTCCTTCCTTCTCTTTCTTCCTCCCTTCCCTTTCTTCCCTCCTCTCTTTCTCTCTCTCTCTCTCCCCCTTCCTTCCCTTCCTTTCTTTCCACTCTCTCTCTCTTTTTTTTTTTTTGGCAAAGTCTTGCTCTGTGCAGTGGCACGATCTCAGCTCACTGCAACCTCCATCTTCTGGGTTCTGCCAATTCTCCTGCCTCAGCTTTCCCAATAGCTAGGACTACAGGTGCACACCACCATGCCCAGCTAATTTTTGTGTTTTTAGTAGAGACAGGGTTTTGTCCTGTTGAACCCCTGACCTCAGGTGATCCGCCTGCCTCAGCTTCCCAAAGTGCTGGGATTACAGGCCTAAGCCACTGCGGCAGGCCTGATTCTCTGTGATTCTACCTTTAAAAGAGAACACACGCACCAAGCCTTTTTCAGAAAGCTTTTCTCTAACTCTAATAGCGAATTTTCTCTCTATTATCCTTGCCCAATTTTGACTGAGAGTTAGTGAATACAATTTAACTTCTTAAAAACTTCCAGTGTCTTATGCTTATATTGTTCACTTAAATCATTTGAATTAGAAAGGCATCTACAAATAATAAAAGTAAAGAGTATAGACTTAGATACTTAGAAGACTTCTTCAAGTGCCATCATCCCCCAGATTTCCATTAAAGCATTTGTGTAATTGTGCAGTGGGAGGTAAGTAGTACCCAGGAAATTACATGTACAATACTTTGAAACAAAATGGTAACAAAGATTTCCTGACTCAGGTATGCAGTCTAACTGCTGGTTTAGATGAAGTGCTGAGAATATTTATTTAGAAAAAGCACTCTAAAAAGCATCTAGAGATTATCATGAAAATAATTGGAGGCAAAGTCACTAGGCTGCCTTGTGAGAGGTAGCACACCATGGCTCTAAACCTGTTCAAAAAAATTAATGTTAGAGACATTAGGAATTCAGGTTTTGAAAACCTTTTTTTTTCTATTTATTTGTTATTTATATACAAAAAAAACCATATTAAAATAGTCCTCCCTTCAACGTGGCTTTTTTCAAGTTTAACAGGCATACCTGTCTCAGCACTTGTATGGAATAACTGTTGCAGCATTTGGGAGTTATTTTTCTTTTAGACATTTGCAGATCAGTATTTGTGAGGCTATCAATGTGAACTCTGAACTTACCTAGTTGGTTTATATGAAATATGTAGAATGCACTGCAGTAGCCATTGTAAGAAAGTACTGTGATTTTTTTGTTTTTGTTGTTGTTTGGTCTGAGAATGTACTGCCAACCCCTCTTTTATACAAGAGAACTGATTTTGATACATATTTTAAAATATGATAGTATAGAGTTAATGGATGTTAAAATTTTATTTCTTTGTTTTGGTAAGTAGATCGAATTGAGAATTATATGATCAGTACATTTGAGAATTAGATGACCAGTAAGTATATAATAAGACTGGGCACAACCATTTGCCATCTTCTTCTGTTATCATCACATAGTGTGGGTGGGGAGAATGAATAAAATCACTCTAGAATAATGATAAATGGTTTTTGAAACTCTGTATTGAATACATTCCAGCTGACAATGACTTCTTTTTCACTTTGGTGATATCAGCCTCAGGGTAAAAAAATGTGTTTATAAAAAATAGTTTCATAAATCTTTTAGTTATAAACAGGAAAGTTTTATATTAGTGTGTCATTTCATTTCTAGACTGTTGATGTTGATCATGATAAAGAATTTGGAGCCAATTTTGATATTTGAATGTATTGTTTTTACATGTGATGATTAAAGTTCTCTGTTAGCAGTTCTTGGTTGTCGGCGTATATCATATATTTCAGTGATTTATGTATCTCATCTCCACCATTATTTAAACCTAAGCTTTCAGCTCAATCTTGGTGGACTCAAGGAGTTGGTTGCCTGTAACTCATATGTACCCCACTTGCAGATGGGGGAATTCTCTTGTTCTTAGTTTGAATCATCATGAGCGATAGCTTATCAAATAACCTATGGGAAAAATAATTTCCTGTGTGCTATTATAAAAAAGGTGGGTGGATCACCAGGTCAAGAGATCGAGACCATCCTGGTCAACATGGAGAAACCCCGTCTCTACTAAAAATACAAAAAATTAGCTGGGCATGGTGGCACGTGACTGTAATCCCAGCTACTCAGGAGGCTGAGGTAGGAGAATTGCCTGAACCCAGGAAGGTGGAGGTTGCGGTGAGCCGAGATCGCGCCATTGCACTCCAGCCTGGGTAACAAGAGTGAAACTCCGTCTCAAAAAAAAAAATCCCCAAACAGGCCAAGAGCTGGCGCCTGCAGCACCTTTTATTCTTGGTGTGCTCCCTTGGCTTAGAGGAGCAGCTCTACCTTCACCTGAGGAGCATACTTCCTACAGTCCATCTAACCTCCAGCCACTTGCACTGTGTCTACCATCATTCCTGTTGAAGTGAGTCAAACATTTCTTTCAACCTTTGGCAAGAAAGGAGGGTATAAAGGCTATTCTCATGTTAGAGCTGAGAGAAATGAGGAGCAGCATGACTGACTCATTGTGATAAAATTCAATTGAGCTTTGATGGTTGATCCGAAAGTGCTAAATCTTTACAAATTCTGTTCCCTAGCCATTCGGGTGTTTGCGATTACCTCCCAAATTGCTAGGAATAACACGAGGAATCTTACGGTGATCCTAGTTGTATGGCCTCCAGATTTTCCACTCTCCTTTAGGATTATTTGTTTATTTTAAGATATTTTCTTTCGCTTAAAACAAAGAGACAGCTAATTTCTAGATGAAACTATACATTATGTACTTGCAAAACAGATAAAAGGTAATGAAAAAGTAGGAAAGGAAAAACAAAAGCCTTGTCAAAGATTAGTTTTGATGAGAAATTCGCAGTGATTTTAGTTATTTTTATCTTTTGCACTGTATACTGGATTCAGTGCAAGGGATAAAAGGTGATACGAGATAGTCTGCCAAACTTTCTTATGAATTATTTCATGATGTTATTTGGGGCAACACAGATGGAAGAAATGAACATTTCGAAAAACTATGAAATACATAATTATGTGGGGGCTGCTTGATTAGTGTGAGTAACATATGCAGAGAGAGATGAGCCCTAAAATAACCAGGACAGAAGTTGAGAGTTCATCTTTTAACTTTCACTTTTTAGTAGTTTACTTCCCATGTTTGGAGAAACTGTAGGATAGAAGGTGGTTTCTTTATAACTGATCCGAGTCTTCTGCTGTAAGATTATGTAATCCAATTTCTCAGCTTTAGTTGCTTGGCTTTCATTTTTCAGCACTGCGGGCCAAGAACTATGGCTATTTGAATTCTCTTACTGTGTGGCTGTGTATCTAATAATTTATCACTGTCTTACTCATTTTTAAGTGGCTTTTCATAAGATTGGAACATAGGTTTTATGCCAAAGACATTTGTGTTTTCTACAGCTTCTTAGCATTGCTGGAGTCCCTACCAAGAGGTTATACGGTAAGCTGATTCTGATTCTGTGGCTTATGCTGACTTCATGATTGTAAAACAGCTTAAGGAGAGTCACTATCCAGAATTGAATTAAATCATCTTTGCAATATTGAGTATACATCCAGACTGCACTTGTGCTTTCCTGTTCCTTTTTAAAAATGCCTTTTCCTGCAGGGCTCATTACGCTTTAATGTCTCCTAGATAACATGTGGAAGCTGTAGGCATTATAAGCCCACGTTTGATGAACAGTCTCAGATAATCAGCGTGCAAGCTCATTTCCTCCACTTTATTCCTGTAAGAAGAAGATCAAGCTTCAACTTGGGAGCCAGCTGATCTGAATTTTATTTCTGGCTTTGCTGTTTGATTCAGTGTGACCTTGGATAACTCACCAGAGAGGGAAGGTTCATTCTTCAGAAAGTGAAGTTTATGAAAGACCAATCAGACTCTCGTTGAAAGAAAAAGACCTGATGGAGCACAGCTAGATTTCTCTAGGCCACATCTGACCTGACTGAAGATGATTTTTGAGTTGGGTCAGGAAAATACAGTAGCAGGGATCGTGATGCATTGAGAAGACAAAAGCAAGGGCTTAGAGTAGGAAGGGAAAAGAATTGACCTGGTTCTCCCTGAAACTCTGCCACTAAGTAGTTTCCCCACTCTCCTTCAAGTTCACAACTCTGAATTTTTGTGGCATTCCTGACAGTGAACAAGTCAGAAGTGGCCTCTGCTCTCGTGGAACTTAAAGTCTACCAGGGAGGACATACTGAACTGTAACGACCAGAGTGATGAACTTTCCCAAAGGGGAAGTTCAGGCCATTGGAGAGGCTCTGACAGAGGGATGTCACCTGTCCCAGGGAACTAGGGAAGGCCTTCCTGGGAATTGACATTTGAATGTGGAGATGGAAAGATGAGTCGATGTTAATCAGGTGAAGGAGGATTTTATGTACCCCCCCAGCCACACCCATCTGTACCATATCGGGCTTTGGAGAGATGAGAAAAACAAGGTATGGTTAGAAGCAAAGTTGGAACATTGTTTTTATCATTAAAACAAAGATGGCAGCATCAAAGCCATTCAAATTGTGTTGCCTCAACCCCTGCACCAGGTCCTGTGGTCAGCCTTAAGGGAACCAGGACCAGCAGTAAGGGGTATGTGGAAAAGGGATTGTGAAGATTTTATACAGTTTAAGGGAATCAAGAAGCTAGTTAGATAAAGGAGTTCTTTCTTGCCCCGATGTCTTGGCTTATGCCTTTCTACCTCTCCCTAGAACACACACTTCTCTTCTTCCTTCTTCCTTGAAAACTCTATCTGAAGCATGGGCTCTGGAGTCAGACATCCAGGTTGATTCCTGGCACCATCGTTTACCAGCTGTTTTGCTTGAGCAGGTTGCTTAAGCTCTCTGTGCTGCTGTTTCCTCATCTGTGAAGTGGTGATAATAATAGTGTCTACCCTAGAGGGTTGTAAGAACCAGATGAAGTAATACTTGTAAAGTCTTTGGGATTACGCCCAGCACATAGCCTCAGTAGATGCTGGTGAGTGTTAATATGTAAGGCCCCTTGTTTTTAAAGAGGTCTTCTATACCTAATACAACCCTCACAAACTTGGATTCATATGGTATTTATAGTGTACGTGGAGTTAGGGACATACCTTTTTTTCTTAGCATTTACTTGGTCGGTGCCTTTTGGCCAGAGACCACCAGGAGCAACCCTGTAAGTTAAACAAGTTAGTTTTATTACTTACGGCAGTCAGAGAGCACACACACCCCAAGGAACTACAGGGTGTCCAGGTAGGAGGGTGCAAGAAAGAACTTTTTGAAGAATTTGGGCTTTGGGGATTTGAGGGAGGGTCCTAGGAGTTAGGATTTCACTCTAATTGGATGCTGTCAGAGAGCAGGGGCAATTCTATATTTTGGCATGTTTATGAATCTTATCTATAGAGAGAAGTCTAGCTGAGGATAAGCTATAATTAGTAAAACAAGCAGTCACTCATCTGGTTGAGAGAAGTGGTGTTTGGTATTCTGTGGATGGCACAGTGACCTTATTTTTGTCTGTTCTTAGACACAATTATGTAATGGTCTTGTTTTGTCTCATTTTATTGTGGTCTCAGAGTAACCTTGTTAGAGGTTGGTCTTCCGTGAGATAGTTTAGGTTCCTCAGAATAACATGCCTTAGCTGTGAGTACCAGGACAGTTTCTAAATGTCAGGGGCTGCTCTTTTTGTTCTCAACTTGTCTGACTTTTGTTTGGACTAATTTTCTTCCTCCTGGGAAATTGTAAGAGAATATATTTACTCATTTAACAAACCACCAGGTGAGTACCTGTGTCTACTCCAGACCAGGCACGATGCTAAACACAGGACACAATAGTATAAACTCTGCCTTCAAGGTTCTCAAAGTCTTGGATAAAAAGAGATTTTAAAACTATGTTTCAGATCATTTTGCTAGTTTGAATGCCTTCTTCAGCTTTCCCACAAGTATTCCAGCTTGTGTCTGGATACTTCCAATGATCAGGAAATCCTAGGTACTGCAGACAATGCCGAATGTTAGAAAATTGGTTCTCAACTTGATCTATAATTTCTTTCCTCGTATATTCTACCACTTGGGGTCTCTATCCATATACTGAAGACGCTCAGAATGGGTTCCCTGCATGTTCTCATCTACCCATAGTCGACCCATGGGCAGTGTAGGTGAACTCTGGATTCTCAGAACTCAGTGTTATGCTGACTGCTCTTACAGCCTTCTCAAAAGAATATTTTAATTCAACACGTAATTTAATGTTGATTCCATTTTCCATATGGCTTTAATGTTTAGGCTTATTTTGTCTGACTAAAGGACAGACTGCATTATCAGGGCTTTTGTAATGGAAGTGTATGGTGCTACTGCATATGAGAACAGCAGACACCAGGTGGCAGCATTTGGCTTCGGAACTGGCTCAACAAACTGGGAGCTGAGTTCACAGCTACGTTTTAGAGAGCAGGGTCAAAGGACCTTCCAGAGGTTACCTAGTCAACTCCCCTTCCACCAGATGGGACAACCCCTGGTCAAATCCACCTACATAGGTATTTATCCCATTTATAATAACTGGTAGGAAAAGTGTGCATCATCTTCCCAATAGGAACCTATTTTAATATTTTAGAATTTGCCTGGTAAAATTCTTCCTAAATAACCATACCACATACTGTCATCTGAACTGTTTTCCTTCTTTCCTCAGATGAAATCGCATTAATTTGATTTAGAAAAAAAACTGTTGGTTATTTTCTGAGGCCGTACACACGAAGAGTTACCAGCGAGTCCCCTGCCAACCTTACTTCTTAAGCCCACCCATCCCCCACCTCGCCAGAAA